AGAGCGTGTCCATAGGCACTCAGATCGCAGCGAGGAGTCCCCTCTGATCCCTGCGCTTCTGGTGTCGACCCGTCGGTGTAGATCAGTTAACAGTTTACCATACGAGCCATCGGTGGGAGCCGAGGGTTCTTTCTGTTACAGTGAGGGCTGCGGGATGCCTCTTATCGCTCCAATCTGTTCCTATTGCCTATTTAGTTATTGTTTCTGCTGATCAAAGATCGGTCATTGAATGGGAAGCATGGCAAAATAAACCAGGTTAAATAACTAACTCCTTTCTATACTCCGTAATCTAACAACAAAAATCGATATAACTATATAAAGAAATATTTGGAAAGGGAAATAGCAATTGTCTTGAAAAAAAAAAAAAAAAGAGCTCTATATTATTACATAGACGTTAGTTACATCTACTTATTTTCATCTCCTCAGCCTTGATCGTTCCGCACTCATACAGCACACAACAGGGAAAGGGACAGGGGCAGATACAGCACTTATAAATTCTGATCATGAAGAAGAAGCTATTGGGAGGAACACTTGGTTGATTTGAAAAAAAAAAAAAAAAAAAAAAAAAAAAAAAAAAAAAAAGAGAGAGAAAAAACTCCTTTTATTGTCGCCCCTTGGTCCTTTTCCATATACGTATATTTTACAATTAGGAGCAGACAAACATTGAAGTCGAAAAGAAAATCTCCGCGAGATGGTTTAGAAGGGCTAGAAAAGGAGAGTCAAAGTACGTCAAATCAGCGCTCAACTCCAAAATATATAGAGAGCAACCCCATATCTGAATAGACTCTGAAATAATCGGGCGAATATGGGGAAATGCAAGGCTAAATAATGATCATGGGGTGCGCTAAGAGGCAACGGATGTCTGATGTACTAACATTATCTTCAGGAGGGATGCTCCGTTCCCAGTATCCGCCAATGACGGGGATGTTCATCAAGATATCCTTCCGTACGCGGGGGACCTCCCCGAAGAAGAAAACAGCAAAGATGCCGGCGGTGGCGCCGAAGGCTGAGGCGATTGTGCCGCTGTATTTTTCGTAAGAGGATAAGTCAGTTGTGATACGATCGTATAATTGGAATAAGGGAGCTAGAGATATATATAGTAGGTGTAAAAGAATGACAAGCCACTGCATAGGTAAAGAAAACAGCAGGGAGCAGGAAGACGCGAACGGTGGGTGCGTGGGTGCGTGCTTGCGTGCGTGTATAAGAAAAGGCTTACTATCGAGTGACGGTTTTTAGAGGAAAGCCGGCAAACTGAGGTTGTTTCTTGACTCTGCATGATAAACGAACGGCCCGTTAGCATTGTGGTCGCAAGAGAAACTTCTATCAATCAGCCCTGTACGGAGATCATAAGAATCCATCCCGTATGGATGGAAGAAGTCCAATAGATCTGCAGAATTATTCCTCCCGTGGCCATGATGGTTTCATCACAATGTAGTGGAGTTAGGATGGACGTTAATTTATCCCTCCATCCCTCCTGGAAGGGTTGTGGAAAGCCACAGACCAATGATTTCATCCCTCCCTTGGAAAATATTGTCCAATATCAAGTCCGCTCCATCACCGCATGATCCAATATCCCCTGGGTTCTCCAGTGCATTTTTTTTTCAGCCAGCTTCCGCGCATGATTTGTTCTCCTCCAGAATTCCCAGCAGCAGGCCCACCCATCCACGCCACAAAGATAAAAAAAAAAAAAAAAACCAGAAAACGAAGGTAATCCTCACCTCGACGCAAAAGGGCCCCACTGGGCCGTAGCAGCCGCACTGGCCGAGCGAGCGGACGTAGGCGATACCTATTACCAAAGAACCAGTCACATTAGCCAATAGCTCCCATTATTCCCCTTTTCCAACCCTCTCCCAGAACTCTCAGTGTAATTTAGAAAAATGCAAAAAAAGAACAAAAAGGAAACAAGCAGATAAAGAAAAATCCTAGCGATTTTCCAAAAATTCAAAAAATCTTTTTGCCTCCCCTCTCCCTCCCCGCCCCCCCTCTCGTCCCCCTTTCCCATGTAATTTGATTCAAGATTTCGAGATGGACCACAACGACGACCAAGGAAATCGGCAATGGGGATACCCGCGGTATGCGTTCGCATTTTCGATGTTAATTTGGATCCAGCGCGCGGGGCAGCGCATACTGACAGACCCTAGCACTCTTCAAGCCTTTGACATTCCGAATGCACGCAGTAATGTAGAATGGGGGCCTTCTGCTAAAATTTGCCAATTGCAGAAAAAAAAAAAAAAAAAATTATGCGCGATTCCTTCCATACGGATGGGCTTAACTCCACTCGTGCCAGGTTGCGGTTCTCTCCATGCCATCTTTATCTTTATCTTTATCTTCATCTTCATCTTCGTCGTCATCGTTCGTTCGTCGGAAAGGAAATAAGTTCCCGCATCCCCACCGAAATCCATTCCATCTCGCTCTCCTCCTTCACCCCGTTCACCAGGAAGGGCAAACCAGCGGAAAAAACCACACAAGCACATCCCAGCACCAATAATCCCGATCCCAATCCGCACGTTGAATACCTCCCGAAAGTGTCTCCCATCCCGAGCCACACTATAAAAGAAAAAGGCCAAGTAAACACACAAACACAAACATACGTACCATCGTCAGAATGGAAATGAAAAGTAATATGAGGAAGCAAAAAAGGGGACAGAAGCCGGCCAACGAAAAGAGTCCCCAGGAAAGTAAAGGAAGTGGAAATAGGATGAATGGGTAATGAATTGGCTTTTCTCCTCTTCGTTCGTTCGTTCGTTCGTCGTCGTCGTCGTCGTCGTCGTCGTCGTTTGTCGGGAGGAGCCGCTTGCGACCCCTCGGGTGACTCACCTGACCTACGCTAGTGGAGGTCATCAGACCCAAATAATTTCTTGGCACAAAAAGGGTCAGCTGAGGATAAAACAAAACTGAACTTTTACCTTCTCATACATTTTTCAATACACATAGCAAAAATGAATATCAATTCTTTCTCAGATGATAGTGATCTATTAGATCTTGATGTAGATCAGGATGATCAACTTGAGGAACAAACAGAAGTTTTTGTGACGGGTTAGCACCTGTTAGTAGTTAGCTTGCGCAACCAACGCCTCACAACTCCACTCCGCGCACACATACTGTATATCAATTACCAACAGAACAATTGAGTTGAACTACTGCCGATGGCACAGATAGCATACAACAGTTTCAAAAAATGCAACAACAGGATTCACACCGTTCTTCGCCAACTACAGAAGAGAACCAGACATGCAAAGAATGGAACTACCCGCGAAGAACTTGACAAATGAAGCAATAGAAAAAGCAAACCTGCTTCGCAAATTGCATGAACAATTGGTATTAGACATCGATTTTGTGGCAAAACGAGTCAAAGAATACTACGATAAAAGGCACCAGGAGGCACCTCAGTTTAAAGAGGGGGAGAAAGTGTTTCTGCTACAACAAAACATTAAAACCAAGAGGCCAAGTGACAAATTGGACTTTAAGAAACTAGGACCCTTCGAAATTTTACAGAAAACTGAACCAGTTAATTACAAACTCCGATTACCGGACACTGTGCCTATACACCCGAATTTCCATGTCTCACTACTGGAAAAAGCACCTGGAAATGCACAACAATACAAAACAGAAGTCGACAATGAAGAGCAAGAATATGAGGTCGAAACGATACTAGAAAAACAGAGAATTAGCAATAAGCACTACTACCTAGTGAAATGGAAAGGATATGATACCTCAGAGAATACTTGGGAACCAGAGGAAAATCTCAAGAATGCTCGGAAGAAAGTCGAACACTATGATCAGAAGGATCAAGCACGGAAAGGTCAAGCGAAGGAAGATCACCAGAATCGATAGAACCAAAAGTCGCATTAAAGAGATCGATACTCTCAAGAGTCAGAAGACGCTGATCGTTTTCAGTTTCACGGCGATTTCTCTCTTCCTCTTCTTCTTGTTTTTCCAATTCCTCCACAGTTTGCAGGTCTGACTGAAGGAACTTGCCAGCATGAGAACGCAACAAATTCTTTTGTTTTTCTAAACGATTCAAACGAGCAAAAAGTTCGGAAACACGGGCACGAGTCTCAGCCTCTTCACGTTCAATACGATTGGTAGCGTCAACCAACTTATCCCAATCAAGATCAGGAGTCACGAAGGAGCAAGAGCGACCCAAGCGAACACATTCACCACAACAACGGGCGGATTTTGACAGAATGACACACTTCTTTTAAGAACGAGAACAACGATTGCACGGACGAGGCATTTCGAAACCAAAGGATAAGATACGTTCTACCAGGCGGTTTTTATCAGCAGTAGAATCGCGACGACGAGAAGCCATGTCGACAAAACCATCCAAGGGAAACTTACCTAAAGGGACACCTCACAGGGAGACAAGCCTGATATTTATACGTTGAGACGACTACCTTGAGAAGGAGGGGAATGATGTTACAAACCTACAGCACAACTCTGAGAGCCATTGGACAAGGAATGACTGAATGGTAGAGGGCATGCAAGCTAGACATCGGATAAGAAAAGATCCGGTTAACCAATAAGAACAATAGGTCACGTGACATAGTGGATCACCTGGATCACTCGGATCACTCAAGTGAGCGGAGTGATCACAGCTATCCTCGCTCTGATAGCTATCTTGGCGAGAGCTATCCGAGCTATCCTCATGTATCTCAAGATGTATATAAACACACTCATTACCCTTAGAATCAAGGAGCTTATCTTCTTGATCACGATCAATTTCATCTTACTCATTCTCTTACTTATTACCTTTACTTATACTCAGTTACATAGTACAACTATAAGTTCACCTTAAGTATACTTCTTCATGACACATATCTTAAGCCTTCGCCCCTATCTGTAAGCCCTACTAGGTATTCTTATTGTTTATCTTAGACCGCTGCTGTAGCTATTACTAGTCATTCTAGATATTTCTCTTGACATTATATCTTAACCTGTGATAGTGGCACTACCTCCTGACTTAGTGAACAAGCTCAGCAACACTATATAAGCCCCGACCTTATCTTATACCAGTGAGAAGCTTGCTAGATTAGAGATTCGGTAGCAGTTTTCATATAACTGACAATCTAAATATAAATCACTTAAATCATTTTAATCTTTGTTAAATATGATTTAAAATAACCATGTCCAAGCTTTAGCTGCATCATTGTAGCAAAAAGTTTCTTTTTACATTTTATTGAGCAAGCTTTCCATTTTGACTTAGTTTCAAACCTGGAATAATGTACACTCTTTTTTTGTAAAAACCACATATCTTGCCATTTTTGCAAACATGATTCTCTTATTTTTCTTTTAATAAAAGCTCATGTTACAATTCTTTGAAAGCAGACTTCTAATTCCGTTGCTTTTTTTGCAGCTTTATCAGCCATTTCATTGCCATATATACCTATGTAAGCAGGCACTCAGTGAAGATGAATAGAACAATTAAATGAGATTATTCTTTGAGTATTTTGAAGACTTTTTAAAATCAACTCTAGTATTGACTGTTCACTGTTGATTTTATTACTTTGAAGTCTTTTAAGCCCAGCTTGACTATTAGAGAATATTCAAATATGCTTAAATCTTTTCCATTGTTCAATCTTCATTTCAATCAATTTGAAAGCTTTTGAAATTGCAAATAATTCAGCATTAATGTAATGCACTCGTTTATTATTTCCTTATTATTATATTATCTTTGTTTGTATCTTCGTCTATTCTTACCTCTTTTCATTATACTCTCGCTACTGCTATTTCTATATGTATATATGTCGGAACTAACAAAGTCCGAATATTGTCCCAATTACTGAATATCAATAAAAATAATTGAATTGCTTCTAACTCTGATAATTACATGACAATTAGGCAGTATTTATAAGAAAAGCCATGCTCAAATATACACAAGAGATAGCACTGAGAATCAGTGGGGCATTGCTTGATTTCATCAAGTAAGATGTTCCAGATTTCAAGTTGCTATAGAATCCTTGATAATCAAACTTACCAAGTTCTATAGAACTTACTAAGTTCTTGACAATATATAGTTATATGGATGCATATATTTATCTTCTTTCTCTTTCTTTTCCTCTTCAGCGATTAGCTACAACTACAACTTCAACTACACTACTACTATAATTATTATTACTATTATCTTCTACTACACTACATACTATCTTCTACTATTCACTCTTCACACTGTCATCACCCCTCACACTATTCAAACTATTCAATTTAAGAAAGAATGTCAAAAGAATGATAACAGATCAATGCATTCAATTCAAAATAAATAAAATAAAGAGTATAAAAAACGGCAGCTATTAAAAGAAAAGAAAGCATTCACAAATCAAACCTTTCAAAACAAGTCAAAATCAAAAATAATCAAAATGAAACAAATTTCAAAGTAATGGTTGCGACGGCGAGTCCGCGGCCGGAAACGGCGCTGCCCGCCCGATCCGGTCAAGCGCCGTCCATGTGTGGTCTAGCGCGGACCGATGCGGCCTGGCGCTGCCCCGTTCGGGCATGGTGCCGACTCAGTGCCCCCTTCGACTTTCTGATGTCATCTCTCATGGCTATATATAAAACTGCCCTGACTTCCTCCCTCGCACACGCACTTCTGTGTCCTTATTTCCCTTCCCCCCTTTCATCCATTTCCTTTCCTTCTCTTCTCTGCCCCTGCCGTCTCGTCCTCCTCCCCATCCTCGACTTCGGTGTGGTATCCCTGACCCACTGCCTCTGCGCCACCGCCCACCTGTCCAATTGCTCTGATTTTGGTCGCCGCTGTTCGACGAAGGCCCCTGCGGCATTGGCTTCACCATCGAACCCACTTATGTTATATGTGTCCTTGCCTTGCTTTTTCCTCCGCTCCTGCTACTGTTCTTTCACTCTCTCCCGTCTCACGTTGAAGTGATACATGCGTTCTCCTCCCCCCCCGGCAAAAAAAAAAGGATATTCCTTCCTGTATCAGCAACCGGTCGACCCAACTCACGGTTCCCTGTTCCCTCTGTAACCCCTCTCTCCTGCTGCTGCTGACGTCCCTCCTGCTCAGCGGCCAATGGCAAAAATGCCTCATTTCAGTAAAACCCCGTGGGAATGAATGGGTGGTCGATCCCAATTGCGGCGTCGCTGAACCGGCGCCATTCTTTCCCTGACTCTTGGACTCATTCTTCAGCTTGTCATTTGCTGGTGCCTACATGTCGGACAAAGAAATAACTGGAAGGGCTGCATTTCCAGCCTTCCTTCTGCCTGTGGTTCAAAGGACCCCAGTTTCAGCTCAGTGTGGCGATCTTTGGGGTTTGACCTATCAACCCCGACAGGAAATCCCTGTGATATGTACGCGAGTGAGCTGAAGTCGCATCGGGTGTTCCGGAGCATGTCCACACTGCGTACACCATGTAGTGATGCAAGGATGGTGTGATAAGAGGATGAAGGTGCAGGGCCGAAGGTGTGAGGAGGCTGTGTAAGCAAGGCTATAGCTGCATGTGTGCACAGCCGCCGTGTGCCACTCATTCCCACACTCCTCGCGGGATTCACATCCGATTTGTTCATGATACTCACATCTTCCATGCCTGGATTGTTTGAGAGAAATTGAACTGAGACAGCAGGAGGCTGTGGCGCCGCTTCTGCATCCACTCAACAGATGATGGATGTGGCTGACTGCTACTCACACCTGCTTGGGTTACATTCTGCTGTTACATGTGTGGTGGCTGATGATATTTGATTTGGAGAGTCTGATGCTTGTCGGCTCTCCTTTTGAGCGGGTGTAGATTTTTCTGGCTGATGGGCTTATTTGAAGGAACAGAGAGAATGGAGTTATCATCAGAGCAGCAAAAACTGTAGATAAAATGGTCTGCTTTCCTCTGTGGATTCATTATTGTCATTTCAACAGACTACACAAGATCACCATCTCTTCTGCAAACATGTTCAGTGGCTGGAACATATATACCTCTTTCAATCCCCCCCTCAGAACCTCGAAAACTCCTCAGTCCTCTAATTTCATAAATCTCCCCTCTTCAAATTCCATGCTCACAAGTCATCAACTCTTTTACTTTATACCCTCTGCATTTCAATCTCTTCAGACAATTTCTGCACCTTTCATCAGCTCTCAAACACTCTTCTATTCTTTACCCTCTCATTTTCCTCCCTTCAGTCATCCTTCACAAGTTCTGCCTTTCCCTCCTTTCAAAGATCACCATGAGATTCAGTCTCAGGCAGAGAATACTCATTTGAATGATTTTGATAAATTCTTCACAGAACTTGATTCTTTCCGCATCTTCATTTTCAATGATGCAGCTGTTGAACATTTGAGCTGGTATTTGCAGAATGAGAGGCATGGTTTTCACAGTGAATAGCTGATTCACTCTCTCTTTTCTTCTTTCTTTCTCTCTCTCTCTTTTCTTTCTTTTTATTCTATCTGATTAGACCGGTTTCTAACATCAGAGCGTCTTCTAGATTTTTCTGACAGAAATGAGAATAGAGGTTGGAAGGAGAACAATGAATTTTTATCAATTTCTTCACCCACTATAGAATGCAGTCTGATTGAATTAGCTGGCACAAAGACTCTTTCTGATGACAGCAACTCAACACTCATACTGGATTCGACTTCACACTCTGACTTTTTGAAGTCAGAATTGAATCAGAATATATTGTATAAATAAGAATGGTTCTGAAGCAGTTCTGATGACCCTCTACTCTTTGATTCATCAATCACAGTAGACACTGATGACAGTGTTATAGACAGATTCACTGTTGACAGCATTTTCACATCTCCCATCAAACAAAACACTTCCAGCCATGCAACATTCATATCTCACTCTCTCAAGGTGGATGGTGGAAGCAACAAAGCCGGCACTGGCATCATCAGTGTGCATTCTATCCAACTCAAGAGACAACACCGGCCCCAGGCTGATACCAGTGACATGCACCCCATGGTCGCCGTCAAAGTGCCGGTCATCGCGGATCGCCTCGAAGAAGCCATGTCAGACTCGATGTGGTATGAGAATGGGCTAAGCAGCTGACTCCAGACCCGCCAACAGAAGACTCATGCACGATTGAAATGTGAGGTCCCCAATACTCAGAACTGTAAGCTTCTCAGAAAGTCCATGCAGTGTGTTGAAGACAACACAATCATGTTCAACACAGGTAGCTCAAGCACACACTCTGACAATACAGACAATGACTACTGTGTGAGCAGTGAAGAGAATGACTCAATGAAATCATCTTTGAAATGTCACAGACTTTCCACACCATCATTCAGCTCTGCATCACACTGTCTCTGATTTCAGATCAAGAGCAGCAGCTGCTGCAGATTGTGAAGATATTGCATGAAAGAATTGCAGAATGTGAACAACAACTGCAAAGAACTGTTATCCAACCCTCAGAAACACAAATCATGAACTAGACATTTACACTCATTTTCAATCTTTTATTAATGATGAGATGTGCAGTTGCTCTCTATTGTTGTTGATCTGAGAGGAAGCTGTGATGCTGTCATCTAGAGTTGCTCATATTGTTTTCAAAATGATCATGTGCTGTTCAATAACCGCCTCAGATCTCGTGGGTGAGACGACAGCTGCAGCCGACATTGAAAGAGATTATGATGAACAGAAGGTTGAGAATCTGAGCAGAAGAAAACATCACTGAATTTGAGAGAAGAACAATCATTTAATGACTCTGAAGCAGAACAGCTTCTTCTAAACAGAGATTGAAAAACAGTTTTCACACAGACAACTCAACTCTTTACAGCAGTGATGATACACAAAACTTCAGAATACACACACAAGTAACCTCTTCATCAACAAACAGAGGCAAGAGTGGAACTGTAAACACAGCCACTCAATTCTCATTTATAATGTGATGTGAGTCTGAAAAATAGTGCTTATAAGATGTGCTGCAATGAGTACTGATGCTCTACTCTTCTTACAAATCTATTAAATCATGCATCAGCTGATGAACCTCTTCTGATATCAAAGTCATCCACACCCATCAAAACTTCATATCACTATTTCAGTGGACAACTCCAATCAGTGAATGATTGAGCCATGCTGAATGTAAAGCATTGCACATCATCTCCATTCTCAACGGTGATCATCATGTGCTCAGTGTGCAATTCTGTCATTAAGGTGGAGGCTTCCAATGTGTTCAAAGTCATCAACAATTGCATGCAGATCCGTGAGCAGTTGTGATTTTGTGAAAACCACTGAAAGAAAACTGCACAGTGCAAATGATTCTGACTTCACTATTTCATCATTATATGGAATCATCTTGATGATCAATTGACTCAATTCCATTCCCATTTGCATTAGATTCTTAATGATTCTGAGTACTGCTCTCACTATAAAAGTGTTGTGCTTGAGAAAGTGTGAAGATATGATAGAAAGATTCTCTCTCAGAGTGTTCTGTACAGCATTAACTACTATGATTTTAAATTAAAATCATGAAATTCTGTAAGTGAAGAAACCCACCCACCCTCTGTGTAATAGGCGCAACGGAGATATCTATATTAGGAAATAGATACGTGGCGATAGATACGTGGCGATGGCAATATTATCTATATAATGCTCGCTGATATCCGTGGATTTTAGGAGATCAGCGATTAGCTTTGAACAATAGAGATTGCTACCTTTCTAATATCCTTTGTGCGTACTTCACACTACTCTTGTAATTACTCTTGTAGCCCATCTCTTACACTCTGCCCTCCCCCACCCCCATGAACCCATCAAGAAACCTCTTCACTGACCTTCCCCTCAGCTCAGCGCATGTCATGTGTCACTTTAAAGATGTCATTGACTCACTGATCAATATCAATGGTGTGATGTTGAAGTATGAGGCTGTTGTGTATGCTCAGGAGGTCTTGATTCCTGAATTACTAGAGATGTTGATTCAGAAGAATATAGAAGTCAATGTCAAAGAGGCTCATCAGATTCTGAAGAAGAGCAACAAGATCAGGAATTTGCTTAATCTTGAGTGAATCAGGAACATGTAGTTATTGATTAACATATTGATTTAACGCAACCCAATGACCAGCATTGTAACTATCTTAGTGAATAACGTAGCCATTAAAACATACTAAACTGCCCTCACTAGTTCTACCCACAATTTGGGAGTGATTTGAACATTGTTATTTCTGATTTTTTACTTAATTTCCTGCTTTGCAGGAAACGCCCATCTTTGCATCCACTCAGACTCAACAACATCCCGAATAGTAGCTCTGTCGCTTGGTAAATATTGAAGCATCATCCAAATCATATGTAGGAAAGCCTTCTTCTCATCCTCCCCCTGCTCTTCCATGTCTGATCGCCGCCGAGCCGCGTTAACGAACCAATCGTACCGTTCTTCCAGGCTATCTTGGAAAGGAGCATCAGTCGTGATATCAATAGTTGCATCCTCGTTAAAAAAATCGGTTCTGGACTCCCATTGTGACCACCATGGATCAGGGAGCTTTCTCAAAACACTGACTTGGTCCTGAAGTATGCCTCCACCTAAGGTACTAAAGGGGCCCCCACTACCAATGATTTCAAATATGGTACATCCAAGGGTCCAAATTTCGCTGGGGAATGAAAGGTTATATTCGTCGTTTTGTTTGTCAAGAAAGAAAATTTCGGGTGGAACAAGGTGGGGCAGCGTATATGCGTTAGTCCGTCTTGTTTTACTAGGGTAGTAACTCGAACCAAAGTCAGAGAGCATGATGGGCAAATAGGTAGGGGTGATTTGGTCAGACCGAATTCCAACTCTTGCAGGCCCAACGACGTGAGTAGGAACTCCTGCCGGGAGAGGTTTGCCATCAACTCGGACAATAGGCTCAAGAATTGGATCGCCAAATTTCTGATACAGTTGTGAAGGGTCTATCATTCGGCGAACATCGGCGGGAAGTCGAAGAAAGATATTACCGCAATGTATATCTGTAGGATTGGTTAGACACTGTGTATATCTAGGAACGATTATCTACTCACCACCGTGGATAATGCTTTGTCCGTGTAAAAACTGGACGGCTAACACCAGGTCTGCAGCAATAGCTCGCGCGATACGAAGATCCAGTAGTCCGTGAAAGGCCAAGGACTTTGATTGCGTCAAGCTACAACTAGCCGTTTCCATGACCAGGCAATTGTGAGTTCCATTGGGACTAATTTCAATGAAATTGTCCAGCAGCTGTCTGATCAATGGGTGCGGATGAAGATGTTTTAGAATATCTACTTCCTGAGATTTCGAGGCAGAATCGGCGGATTTTATTTTGATAGCAACTAACTCCTGTTGCTTCTGGTCAGAAGCCAGCCATACTGTAGAGCTGCCGCCAAATCCGAGGTTCTGGACAATAGAGTAACGTCCATCACAGAGTCGATCACCAAGCTTTAACGGATAAAAGCCGCCTGGACAGTACCTCTCTAGCCGTTCACAATCCTCAATGTATTTGTACTTAGGGGCAGTCTCAGAAGCTACAGGGCTTTTGTCCATCTTGCATCGAGGGTGTGAGGTGTGAAATGTTTTTAAAATAGTGAATGCGCATTTCTCATGTGAGAGATGCTTTGAGGGTACCAATTTTACTAATCTTCCTAACAAAACAAGGGATGGGGAGTGACATCTCCATGTAAAGTGTAAAATACACGAATTGAAGGGGATCATTTCCGGTCGGCCATAGAGTGGGAGTGGGTGACATTGTCGTAGAGAAGCCAACAACTGGCGTGCCAACTTGATCTCCGCGTTTATTGACTCCTCGACCTTTTTTTCTGACTAAGCAAGTATGATCCAACAGACTGTTAGGGGGTACTACGGCTATGTTAGTGGTACTACGGCTACCCTATCACGTGCCCCCCAACATATTGGGTTGCTCTCGCGTAGTTAGTTTTAGTAATGACAACAACGTTATCCTCCCACAGGTTATGGCCCTTATAAGCTACGAAAGAGCTGCGAAATAACGTGCTAACTACGTCTCCACGCATCGTTAAAAGCGTGCCTAGACGGCTGTTAAGTGATTTGAAACTAATGGTTAATCTGAGATCGGGTGGAACGCCTGATTTAACGAAGGACTACGTGACGACGCGTAGAAGAAGTCCTCAAACACCGGAGGCACAACAAGAAGGACTGGACGCAGGTCTACCAACACCTGCAACCAACAGAAAGGTGATTGCCCGAGGGGCTTTTGAACCTGACGAGACAATCGAAGAAGAATCGAACAAGTCGAATATCGAATACGAAGACCCAATTGACAACAATGAGATGTCGGATAACGCGGGTGGCTCTAGTAGCCGTGATGATGTGAGTGAGGAAACTCGCATGAGATTGGAGATCGCGAGACTCCAGCATGAAGTCCAACAGATGAAAGCAAGTAGAGGTGAACCCTCTGCTAGTGATGAGAACATTAATGCAGATTTAGCAAACTATCTGCAGAGAAAAGGCAGAACGTCTGCTATTGTGAAGATTCTTAATGAATTCCGTGACCAAGTGAGATTCATAAGGGAGCCAGTTATCCTCACTGGTTTTGTGAATTATTCAGTGTGGAGGGAAGAGATCCTCCTCGCAGCGAGGCAATCTCATACAATTGATATCATAGATGAGAGACAACTTGGACCCAAAGAGGATGCCAGTGCTGATATGCAACGGTTTTGGAAAGAATGCAATATGTGGCTGTATAACTACATGTGGTTTGCAATCACTCTGCAAGCAAGATCTTATCTTGTTACACCCAAGGAACTATCTGCCTATGCTCTGTGGACAGCTATAGAAGATATCTTTGCTGGGCGGCCTGCCAGCAATGCCAACACTGCCAGCAATGCCAACGATGCCAACGATGATGTTGGTGATGATATCAGCGATACCAGTGATGATAGCGGCTACAGCAGTGTGGATATTGATATGGATTCCAAGATGGAATGTTTGGATGGATCAATGGAGGACAATCCTACAAGTGATAACAATCCTACAAGCGATAACAATCCTACAAATGAGGACGATCCTGTCCTGAGCACCCTAACTGACCGCCCAACTACCGTGGCGGAAGCCAAAAGGAGCCCTGATTGGGACTACTGGTATGAGGCGATGAAGAAAGAGGTCAGCATGTTTGAGAACAAGCAGACATATATTGTCGTTGAGAAGACCCCAGGCATGGATATCTTAACTGGTAAATGGGTGTTTGATCGCAAGTTGAACAATAAGGGAGAAACAATCCGGTTTAGAGCTCGCTGGGTGGTTAGGGGATTCCTCCAACAACAAGGAGTCCACTATACAAAGTCGTACGCCGCGGTGGTATCAGGACCCACGTCACGGAGCTTATTCGCAATCTCAACGGCAAAGGGGTGGAAGGCAAAGGCGATCGACTACGTCTCCGCGTTCTTGAACGGCATACTACCGCAGCACGAGATGGTATATATGCAACTGCCTACAGGGATTAAGCACGGCAGGGGGGGCCTGGTTGGCCTGCTCCGCCAGAGCCTTTACGGGATGAAGCAAGCAGCGAGGGTGTGGTATTTCCTTGCGACGGAACACCTCACCACTCTAGGATTCAAAATCTCGCCGTACGATGGCGGATTCTTATATCACCCTATTCGCAAGATCTACCTGACATTGCACGTCGATGACTGTCGGGTAACGGGACCCCAAGAGCAGCAATTAGACTGGATATTGGCAGAGATTGCTAAAAGGTTTGAGACAAAGGATGTCGAAGAGAACAAGCCCTACCTTGGAATGGAAGTCAAACGTCAAATGAACGGCGACCTAGCGGTTACCCAGAACCGTTATATCGATGAGATCCTTGAGGATTTTGGAATGGACAAGGTCAACCCGGCCAGCACGCCGATGGCGGCCGGCATACGCCTAGAATTCTCACCAGATGAAGATAGCGGGTTAGATGACGATTTTACTGCTACTAGATATCGTCAAGGCTTAGGATCGCTGCAGTATTTGGTGTCAAGCAGCAGACCAGATCTGGCATTCGCGGTCAACTACCTCTCACGTTTCAACTCGCGTCCGCACAAGGAATGCTGGGCAGCATTAAAACACGTCCTACGCTACGTCAAGAAAACGAAGGATCACGGAATCCTATACAAGAAGGAGATGATTGGGGGACTCAGTCCTGTCGCGTACAGCGACTCAGATTGGGCAGGGGCAGACCCCCAATACAAGTCAACTACAGGTTACATTATCCTGCTAAACGGATCACCAATCTCGTGGCGGTCGCAACGGCAGACCTCAGTTGCAAAATCAACCACTGAGGCGGAGTATATCGCGGCAAGTGAGGCAGCGTGCGAAGTGATCTGGCTGAATGACATGTTATTTGATGCTGGATTAGTAGAAGGGAAAGCGAAGGTATGCTCGCACCTGCGAGTTGACAACAAGGGCGCGATAGATCTAGCAAAAGGGGAGTCCTTGACAAGGAGGTCACGTAACATCGAGATCAGATACCATATCCTTCGCGATCTGGTTGAAAAAGGCGAAATCATGATGGAACACGTTGGTTCTACGGCCAATATAGCTGACGGCCTCACCAAGCCACTGGCAAGGCCTGCCTTCGAAGAATTTGTTAAGAGGATTGGCTTAATGGAAATTGGCAAGAAGGGGTGAAGGTAATGATGATACGGGAGTTTACAGATTTTGCTTGTGTTATCCTGTTTTTTACGGTTATTGCCATACGGGAGCCTATTCCCAAAGAGGAAATCAGGGTCTGATTCTTGTAATTAATTATTATTGCGTTTTTAGAAGAATTGAGCAAGGGGGGGGCCCCCGGGCGGCAGAGCTTTGGCGGCGCCGTAGCACGGGGGGGTGTTAGTGTACTACGGCTACCCTATCACGTGCCCCCCAACATATTGTGTTGCTCTCGCGTAGTTAGTTTTAGTAATGACAACAACGTTATCCTCCCACACAAGCTGTAGGAGGATAACGTTCGTTGATATTATTACTAACCGGGCCCTAGATGATTTGTAAGCTGCCGCTCACCTGCAACCTCTGGTCGGCCCCTCGTTCCGAGGGTCCGCCATCTCAACGTTATCCGCCATCTCAACGTTACTGCCCACTTATACCCATGATATTCAGTTGATTTATCAACCAATGAATCTATATTTGATAGATACAAATAGATTATATTGTAAATGAACTATTGCCGTGAATTCCTTGTAAATTTGGTGGCATTAACATAAATGCCTTTGTCTCTGCAATATCTCTTAAGTTCCTTCATAACCTTCTTCCATTTTGGCCGTAACTTCTCCAATGCCTCCTCAATACCAATCTGATGATGAATAGCTGTCATTTTGCGAATATTATCTGCAGAGATGACTCCTCCTTTATGAACTACCCTCCGTGAGCCGTTCAGACGGCGTTTGCGAGCAGCCGAGGCGGCAGTTGTCTGCGAGAGCTCCTCCTGCAAAAGAGCCACTGTATTGGCCATTGCAATACTACCCTTATAAAGCTTCTGTAATCCTTCATATATATAGTCCTCATCATAGTTATCTTCATCTTCCTCTTCCAAAGCCTCGAGTTTGCGTTTATATCGGTTGAATTGGCGTACAGTTGAAGGAGTATACCAAGTATCTGAATCCATGGAATCTGAATTTGAAGATTCTGAAGGAGTAGTCTCGAATTCACGCAATTTATTAAGGACAATTGAAGGATTGAATGGAAGTAGGCCAGTTGCTTCCCATCCATGTTTGATTGTATGAACTCTGAATGTTGCTTTTCGTATGGAGGTGATAGCATGAAGAAATTCAACCTTTGTGAACTTCTCACAGCCGCGTCTTGTTGCTTCTTCAACTGCCACTGAATGATGATGCTTAAAGGCTTGAAAAACACCAACATCCAGAGGTTGTAATAGGTGACTCGTATGCGGGATGAGATAGAAGGGAATGATGTTGTTCTTTTCACAAAAATCCATGAATTCAAAGGTGCAATGGGAGTCAAATCCATCTAATAGAAGCAGACGGTGGGTTCCTTTGGTGCGAGCTTTTGTAGACCGATGGAAATGCTGAATCCACTGAAAAGAGATTTGATCATTATTATACCCAGTGTCGGATGTAGCTATCATGGCATCCTTCTCTATTTCATCTGTCCACCGCTCCTGTAGCTGCTTCGCGGTGAGAATATATAAGGGAGGAATGGTAAAGCCATCAGTTGCAACTCCTTCAATGATAGTAAGACTTTCTCTATTATTTGAACTTCCAACATAGGCCCGTCTTCGAGGATCTCGCGTTACAATCCATTGATCATGTCCAATTCCTATTCTGAACCCTGTTTCATCGAAGTTGTAGATATCGCAATCTTGAATTCCATATTTATTGACTGTTTCTTTGAACCGGTTAAACCAATCAAGGATATGAGATGGTTGATGAGCCTGTTTCCGTAATATATCAATGGTCTTCTGCTTGCGTACATTATACTCTGGATGGCGTTTGAGAAATCTTTTGACCCAGTGCTCTCCAAGCCCAGGTGCAGGTGTGGTAGAATCTGTATGGCTCTGCGCAAGTAGGAATCGAGCAGCACCAAAGATCATCGATCGATTGGGAGGTAGGCATAGCTTATCTAGAGCTTCTATATACTGACAAAGTGATTTTTCCTGCTCAAAAGATAAAAGTCGATTAGCAGGAGGTCGATGAGTTCGCGGAGCACAGCCATTGTATCGATTGAGCAGACGGGAATAGGGAAGGTTATAATCTCTTGCCAATGCTTTGATATTGGGTTTTTCAATATCGGCTATGGAATCTAGAGCCTCTGTGATCTTATTCTCTATTAAAATATATGTAGAAGTCATCACATTGGTTGATTATTGCATTTTGAAAAAAGAGATTCGCGTATTTGAAAATAATCGCGTTGAGATGGCGGATAACGTTGAGATGGCGGACCCTCGGAACGAGGGGCCGACCAGAGGTTGCAGGTGAGCGGCAGCTTACAAATCATCTAGGCCCCGGTTAAACTAACTACGCGAGAACAATGCAATATGTTGGGGGGCACGTGATAGGGTAGCCGTAGTACCCCCTAACAACCTGGCGCATCTTCCTTGGTGTGGTGTGGTTAAATTAAGCTTTTGCCTTGGCGAACCGTTGACAGCTGCGGTGACGGTCGTGGCGTTGCCTAGCGGATCGCCCTTACGCACGTGCTCTAGAACTTGATTAAAAGTGTCCTCAGCCTGCCACTATCAGGACCGTTTCGTACTTCCCAGCAGGATAGATGATTGGAAGGTGCCATGCAGGCGCATCCTGTAGCTCCTTGGCCAACCCTTGTTTCCCGTTTCATTATACCAGAGCGCCAATATCAATGATGCTTTCCACCTTCAATTTCTTCACGCCGTTTTCCTTGCATAACTGAATCCAGCGGCTAAACAAATTCAATTAGCCAATAATAAAGACTGTGTAAACAGGCTTTGTAGGTGAATCCAGCAGCATAAAACTGAATAGGCAGCTCTTACCGATGCTAGGCGATATCCATACCCTCCACCCGGATATCAGATTCTGCTAGATTGCAAATCATTGCTGCCATTTGACTTTGGTCCTGAAGAATCCGGTACGTTCCCAGCTAAGTCATTCTCCTCCCCGCTGCAACTGCCATCACTCTCAACATGTTGATGTTCCTTTTCGCATTCGCGTCAGTAGGCCTGAAGGCGCATGAGGCTCTCATTGGCTTTAGTTATGACATCGACATTGTTGGAGGTTTAAGAGTTTCTTGAGCACCGCTTCTGTTTCATCCATGGTGCATTCTTTGAGTATTCTGGCATCCTCGACCTTGCTCTTAGAATATTCAAGCGTTTGATAGATGTCTTGAAGTCTAGTGATGTCACTGTCGTCGCAGCCGGCGTCGCATATTTCGTAGGACAATCGGTCTAGTGAATTTCCAAGGTTCTTTTCAAACAACTTCAAGTGTTCCATGTCGCCTATCCTGTCGTTCATGGCTGCGATAAGCAGGGAGGTACACAAGGAGGTAGGGACATCCATTTGAGGCTGTCTAAACACTTTAGGATGTATAGCAGCCGTTTCGAGTTGGGTGGCATAATGTGTAGGTCTAAATTTCTTCCCGGCGTTTTCCTCTAATAACTGAATCCAGCGGCCATACTAAACAAATTCAATTAGCTAAGCAAATACGAAACAAAGTGGAAATGATCAGGCTTTGTAGGTGAATCGAGCAGCATAAAACTGAATAGACAGCTCTTACCGATGCCAGACGATATCCATACCATAGACAGCGCTCGTTGCGGGCTGATTGAGTGCTGGTCATGTCTATGCCACCGCTGTGGTCCTCCATGGTAGCATTTGTGAAAAAATCAGGGGGATATACTATTTGTGACCATATCTGGCTCTGAAAGAGGAAATCCTCTGGTAATTGGGGGAATTCCGTTTCAGTTGGGATCGGGAAGTTGACACTTTCAAGCTGGGATTCGCTGACAGATTCGCGGCTTAACATGTTCAGAAAGATAGTGATCTTTGTCCACGGAATTTCCCCTTCCACATACGCCATCGATTCCGGAATCAATGCCAGGCTCAAAATAAACGCCAGGGAGAGGTGGACATAAGGAAAAATATTTTCACCCCGGGCACGCTGAAGAACAAAAGAGAGGGTATGAAAATTTAGATATGTGCTGTAAGTAAGTTTCTCCAAGAGGGTAGAGAAAGTTGCAGCATCAGAAGAAATGCCATCTTTCAGAGTGTTTTGGAAAGGTTCTGAAGGGAGCTGGAGCCAGTACTGTTCAGCGTGCTGTAACCTAGCCTCCCAGCTCAGCTTTTGAGAGTCTATAAACATTCTTGTGAGAGTGCCATCCTCCTCGCCATATTGTAACATTGCAGCGATGTTGGGGATCCCATGCAGATTGTTGATTCCCCGAATTTGAAAGTCCGTTGCTCAATCTCAGTGTCAAAAAGGGCAATGTACTTGTTCACATACTCAATGAACTTGTGGATTGAACCACCGCGAAGAAGCATAGCATGCGAGCCCACAAACCAAGATGGTAAGTCTGGCGGGGTGACATTCTGCTTCTGAATTGAGTTCAATGCCATGTTAAAGGCAGACTCAACGGAGCTCTTTGACCTTTCGTATCGTTTGGTTGCCATAAGAGACCTGGAGTAACAGAACAATTGCCCACCCATGTCGGGTTTTGAAAGATTACCAAGTCGGTGGTAGAGACTTCCCTTTCCAGGGTTTTCATCAAGGGCCTTGTGATACCAACTCGATGAAATTTCATTCCAGGTCTCCCTCTCATCAGAATCCGTATCCTCAAGACACATCATGTAGCTGGTCAGGTCACCAAGACATTCAAGCCACAAATTTTTTAATCCGGGGACCATATCTATAAGCAGCGTCAATAGGCCGTACGCATAGTAGATGAAGGAAATCATGTAATCATGACTGTCCGGTCATCGAGCTTTCATGATTTTTAGCAAGGAATAGATTCCTTGGTACAGCATGCATGACGGCATGTTATGTTTAACAGGAATCGCCAAAATTTCTCCGTTGGTGATTGGATGTTGCGTACATATGAGTAAACCATAGTGGTGATCAATGAGGCTTCGATGCCATTTGACCAGATTGATCCACTGGTTTTCACTCAACTTTCCAACACATGAGATATTTGCATCTTCTGCAAGGCATCCCATTTCGGTTGACAAAATAACATCGTATATTCTGGCAGCTTCTGACGTCAATATCTCGAATGGCAACTCCTCAACATCATAATGGTGAATCATGATAGTTGTTTCTGGTGGTTCGGGGTCATGCGGAACGCCCAATGAGGCAGTTTTAAATTTCAAAACATCCTCCAACTGAGGTGAGACATATGGGTCTGGCACCCAACCATCAGGAAATAGGGTGCTAGATACTGTGGCAGGAGCAGGGGTAATTTGAACCGGAGTGGGAGTGGGAAGGAACCCCGGCGTCGCTGGAGCATCCGGGTTTGATATTGTAAAATCATAGTGTGTTCGCAGATGTTCAGTGTTTCCAGTTTGAATATGAAAACCACCCCAAGGCTGGTTTTCACCAGAGACATTGCCATGTGAATAGCCCGCTGAAATTCGGCGCTCCTCATCTTCGACGACAGCGGCGGACCGTTTCTTGCCTGTTGGGGTGGAAGGCGCTGGGTTTCTCAAGGTGTTCCTGGCAGACAGACAGTTTTTAGATGTATGTTCATATTGTCTTTTCGTGCAAACAACTTACACCGAGCATTCATATCTTTTTTCAGCGTGTTCATGGGGGAAGCAGGTTGCATCCACAGTTGTCATTTGCTCCTGCGCGCATTAAATCAGCCAGAAGTATGACCCATAAGCTGGAGAAATCTTACCCCGTGTGGAAAATTGATCTGGCCTTGGGTTATTGATGGAGGCTGAAATATCTTCTCTGTTGATGCAACGGCAGCAATCACTTTCCTCTCTCCCTCATCTGAAGGATTCAAAAGCGATCGGACATCCATTCTCAACAATTTGTCACTGTCCTGGCAAAGAATAGCGAGAACTGGGTTCACTGGAGCAGGGTCAATCGCGGTTCGTGTGCTAAAGAGCACTGGCTCTTGCTTTGTCACTGGAGAAATATTTGGATCAACTGGACAGATAACCACACGGCGGCTATTACAACTAAAGATAAAAAGGTAGGGTAAAACTAGAGAACAGCTAAAAAGTCTTTTGGAATGGGGCTGAG